TGAAGCGAGCTGCAGCAGCAGTGATAGCCCTGCGGAACTTACGTTCACCGAGATGGACGTCGGTTGGTGTGGGGAGCGATGTGAAGGTGTTTTCAGTAAACTCCGCGTAACCTTTCCAGTCAGCTTTAGAAAAGTTGACATAGGTCCGGTGTTTGGCGGAGGCAAAGTCGGTTGGTTTATCAATCGAGATGACTATGGGTAGATGGTCTGATGCTAGAGTCAGCATAGGTCGCCATGATAACCTGTTTACCAGACCAGCGCTGACAATTGTTAGATCTGGAGATCTGCAGCAGCTGTCCACAATCCTGGTGGGTGCGTCGTCGTTCATTGTGCAGAATGTCGAATCGTCTATCTGCTCAGCCAAGTCTGTTCCCCTACGATCATTTGACAGGCTTGAGTGCCAAATATCGTGGTGCGCGTTAAAGTCACCAACTACCATACGGTTTTCACCTCTCAGTAGCGCACCTATTTCAGGGTGATATCCTGCCGGCAGCTGGTGACAGGGGGTATGTATACGTTAAATATTTCGAGCTCAAGATCGCCTGACCGGATAGCAATACCCTGACATTCTAGGATGGTATCCCTGCGGTCGATGTCTGCTTCAATAAGGCGATACTGCACGGTGTGGTGCGTGATGAACGCTAAACCTCCNTCGCCATGATACGCTGTTTACCAGACCAGCGCTGACAATTGTTAGATCTGGCGATCTGCAGCAGCTGTCCATAATCCTGGTGGGTGCGTCGTCGTTCATTGTGCAGAATGTCGAATCGTCTATCTGCTCAGCCAAGTCTGTTCCCCTACGATCATTTGACAGGCTTGAGTGCCGCATATCGTGGTGCGCGTTAAAGTCACCAACTACCATACGGTTTTCACCTCTCAGTAGCGCACCTATTTCAGGGTGATATCCTGCCGGCAGCTGGTGACAGGGGGTATGTATACGTTAAATATTTCGAGCTCAAGATCGCCTGACCGGATAGCAATACCCTGACATTCTAGGATGGTATCCCTGCGGTCGATGTCTGCTTCAATAAGGCGATACTGCACGGTGTGGTGCGTGATGAACGCTAAACCTCCACCATTGTCTCGCTCGCGATCTCGACTGTGCACGTTGTATCCGGCGCAATTCAACAGGGTTGAATTGCCGTGCAACTTCGTCTCTTGGACCGCAGCTATTAATATTCCATGCCTTCCCATAAAGATAGTTATCTCCTCGCTCTTGCTGTGGAGTCCGTTGCAGTTAAATTGTAGCACCTGTGTGTGCCTTGGGACACCGATTGTGATGTGCGGTGTTAAAGAGTTGTGTTGCCTGCGGGCTCCCTACTGTATGTCCTGCAAAAGGGGGTGCTGCCTTGTGGTGGTGGTTGGCGGCGTCGCGGGGGAGGGATGCGACTAGGCAGCACAGCAGGGGCCCACATAGTCACTCGTCCAATCTCGCGTGTTGCGGAGTCCTGATTATGCCCTAAAGTGGCACCAGCCGAGGCAGGAGTTGAACTTGACTGATGTCACGTTACGGTATATTCTGGACTGACAAACAGAGCAGATTGTCGGAGGGACTAGGAGTTGCCGGCGGCGGTGTGTGGGTGCTATTATGTATGTTTGTGTGTCTATTGTTGTGTTGTGTTGGGGTGTGGGTGTGTTGATTGTGTGCTGCCCGAGCGGGTGGTGGTTTGCCGTGGAGGCGGTCCGGTTCACACAGCATGGGGCCACGAACGACGTGGTCCATTGCCGGTGCATACGTAGGCCCGAGCAGTTACGGAAGTGACTCCACCCGTCGCAGTCATTGCACCTGACCGAGGAGGAGTTTGTATGCAGTCGTCTCTGGCATCAGGGTGTCCAGATTAAAAAAAAAGCGCAATTTCTGAAAAAAAAATCGCCAAAAATCGCCAATTTTTTCCTAATTCATGAAATCGATTTAACAAATCTTTTATTTAAAAAATGACATCTTGTTATAATATAGTTTTTAAAACCAAAAGCGAATATAATACCTTCAGAGGGTAATAATAAATAACACAAATCACTTATATAATAGTGATGTACAAACAATTTTCTTTAAAAATACGCATACTTTTTAAAAATATATGTTTCAACACTTGTTGCAATAGGACTGCGCAATTATTAAATTTATTATAACTCATATTAATTGATTAATCGCACAATCCGTTTTAAGAGCTCGGCGCTAAAAATTAAATAAAAACCTATAATGAGGCGAGATCAGCTATTTCCACAATTTCTTCAAAATCAACTGTAGGGTCTTATGATTTACATTTCTGTTGTTGTCATATATTGAGCTATTCAACCTTGATGACATACTGTTTGATATTGGAAACGTTTTGCAGCAGAAACCAAGATAAAAAAAATAGGAAGGTAGAACCGCTGAGAGGAATTTTTCAAATTCTTGACGTTTGCAAGCAATTTAATTTTAAAATTTTACACACAAACTCACACACACATTCTCATTTTCAATCTCAAACAACAACAACTTTGAACAATTCCTTTTTTTTTACTCTCAATTTTATACGATTTTAAAATGTTGGCAAACTTAAAAAAACTCATGGCCGACGCATTGAGAGAACGGTTTTACCTTACTATGCTTTTATCATGGCAGAAACTATTAGCCTTCATATAACACTTTATTCCAACTATTGAATTATATTTATATTCCGAATATTAGTTTTTGTTGAATTCATTACGGAAAAAACGCGCTCAACAAAGCATGTGAGTGCGACAAGGATAATAATATGAATTTACTTATATTTGCAAACAGTTTATCGCCTGTTGCGGTTTTAACTCCGTAAGCAATTATCCAAAATTCTTCAGAGTCGGATGGAATGATGATGATGATGAGTTATTCCATGGGAGAGTTAAAATATTTAAATATTCAGTTTCCGCTGCCTTTCTTTCCATCAAAGTCAAATAGTGAATTGACAGGTCTCTGAAACTCGCCCTCTTGTGATTCACACACTTTTTTGGTGACAAAATCAAAGCTTTTTTAAAAGTATTTAATTGACTAGGTAATCGTTTCAAAATTTCTACGATTAGGGTGATTAAAAATTTTTCCCAGTCTTTTAATATGCTTCTTAAGTCAAGTTTATCACGCAGTTCATTAGCCTCTTCTGTAAAATTATCGTGGAAAACTAAGTTTTGTATATTTTTATAATTGGAAAAAATTTATTTGAAAGGAAAAAATAGTCAAAAATCACCAATGACGGTTTCCTAAATTTTTACGCGCAAATATCCAAAAAAATCGCCAAATTGGCGCGAAATCGCCAAATCCGGACACTCTGTCTGGCATACGCAGCAGGTGTAAATTTCTGGCCCTGGGTTAGACTCTATACCAGCCCTGAGCAGAAGGGTACGGAGCAGACGTAGCCCTAGAATCGAGCAACGTTTGATGGATTACGCCGACCTAAACGGGGTTAGATCGCCGAAGCAACAGCCCTTGGTCGGGTAAAACCCGAGTCATTCCGGTACGTAGAACCGGCTGTCGTGGGAATGTTCCAAACGACTTGCTTTTATTCAATGATTTTTCCATGAAACAAAAAAAGAAGGTAGTTCCATTGTCACTTTTTCGGCGCCATATTAACAGTCTGACAATTAAGTAGTTTGTGACATTTCGTGCTACCATACCCAATATCTAAAATCCTCCAAATTTGGTTATTATTTTTTTGTTTATATACTAACATTTTTTCTTAGAATCGTATTTTGAACAAGCAAAAGGTATTTTGGGTTATTGGGCCGTATGCATAAAAACTGAGCAATTGCTTTTTCTTAAAATATATCTTTCACTTAAATTTATTTGAACGAATTGAGTACAAGGTCTGAAATTAAAAAAAAGCATTTGCTTAGGTTTTATGCATACATCCCATTGTGTCCAAACGCTTAACCCAAAGCACAAAATTTTAGCACACACGTGTGGTCAAACAGTTAAACGTTAGTTTAAAATAAAGATTTCAAATTTTCAGATACAAATTTTTTAATAAATTCGGTTTAAAATATGGACCTCTTTGTAAAAAATACTGTGGTCAGCGTAGCCGTAGTTGGACTTACATTTTCTCTGTCAAAATGCTAATTTTACTCCATTTTTCAATGAATCCCCCTCCGTCTCCGCTCCCCACCGCAAAACCGTTGAATAAATAACCGAATATTTCCCCTTTTGTTTTTGAAAGAGAAGAAGTCTAATGCTCAATAAGATGATAATTGTGTTTCTAGTTTTCATACTAACAATAAATCATCAATGTTGTTTCACACCCCCTCCAATATTGGACAGTAAAATATATTTATTTTTACGCAAAGAAACAACGATATTGTCGAAATATACTAGAATTGGATAATACTCTCTTCTCTGAAAGTCATGGGCTAATGGGCCCAAAGTAAATTCCGTTTTCAAGTTACTTGAAAGACATGGACAAACCCAATATCGAAATGCGTAATTTCAGTGTCTGAATAATATCAGAAACAATCGTATCCGACATAGAAAACTGTAACAGTCGCTAGCTACATTGTGAAATATTCCGGTGACATAATGACACTAAAAAAATTGTAAATTGTGTTCACTAAAATTTTATTAATGTAAAATTAAAGACTTTCGCAAGTAGTTATCGAATTTAATGTAAAATTTAAACGTTTTTAAGATAGGATATTAATTATTTTTAAAGGTAAATGTTAAGACAACTGTTTTATTTATACTCTCAAATTTAGGATATAAAATTCTCTCCACCAAAAAACTTAAATTGGGTAACGCCGCTTCGAATTTTTTACAATTGAGCAATTGTCAGAAATCTGCTTTTTAATCAAAAAGTTATTTATTGAAACTACCTTCTTTTTTGTATCATGGATTTTTCATTTCATTTAACAATCCAAACCTTATATACTTAATTGTGTAACATCCAAGCTGAGATCAAGCAAGTATTGAATACAGTGCAGTAGAATTAATACAAGATGATGACAATATGTACTATTTAGGTAAATAAATTACATATCTTTGATTAAAAAAAACTTACCGAACCTTTCAGATAACAAAATATAAGCCTTACCCGGGTTCCACATAAACCAATCTTGTGGGCAAAATCAGCTTCAGGTACTACGAAAGCTTTACGTCGTTCTTCTAATTCCTGTGAAGGTATCAGACCAATTCGTTCAGATTGTTCATGCGTATTTTTTGCTTGCCACCAATTCGGATCTTTTACACTTACTATCTGTAGAATATAGCATAAGAAAAATCTTTTTCGAAAATTTTGTTCCAACAAACCTGTAAAATGTCACCCGATTTAAAAGGCAATCCAATATCTTTGCAAGGCAGCAGCGAGTCCTCCAATGGATTATAATCGAATAAAGCTCGCATAAAGCACTAAGAGTAAAAATATTTAAGTATGAATGATAAATAAATACCGAAATTATCAAATATCTATATGTAAAACATGTAGCAAAACTCTGCAAATAAAATATAATATAAAAATTTCCAACTAGGTAATTAAATGACTAAAATCATTTATATTTTTCAAGGACCGAGAACAAAAGGTATGATCGAAACTAAATGTCGGTCTCGTAACTTTTCGAAGAGAACACAATGGGAACAGAAGTATACGGAACGTTTTGGAAAAGAACTAAAATAGTCTAAAGACATTTTTCTCGAATAACTTTTTTTGGGAACTATTTATTTATTTAATTATAACTATTTATATAACAAAAGAATTTTATTATATAAATACATAAACGCAGCACTGGCAACGAGGCCTTCACCCGTCTTTTAATTATCGATAGGTAGAAAGTTTACGTGCTATGTGTTAGTACAGATGTAAGTACAAATCTTAGATAAATTTTAGTAAATCATTGTTTTTAAAAATTGTATACAATCATAATGTTTTTTTCAGAAGGTTCACTTAGTAATTTTGTAACATCAATGTTGTCAGAGTCGTGGGCTGCTGTGTGAAGAATCGCGCTGATGTGTGAAGAATCGCGCAGAGTGTGAGAATGTGTTTGATAGAAGCTTAGATAGGGGCTTATACCCGACAGTAAGTGGGCATGCGTTAAGATAGTGTGCCCTATCCTTAATCGGATGTATGTCTTCATAGCGCTGATTGGTAGTGTTGACGTGTAGGTAATCCGATTTCTGTCTGGGTTAATGTCCGTGTAATGATGTTCGTATGTTTTCCATTCGCTTGCGTTTTCTTGGTGCCTTTTGCGCATAATAAGGTTGGAAATGTCTTGCTTTGTTAAAACATTGTACGTTAAGGCCGGCGTTCTGACTAAATTTTTCGCTGCAAAGTCAGCATAGTGGTTACCTCTAATACCAGCATGCCCAGGAATCCGCATTACCCTTATATTCTGAGGGGAGCCAATGACCGCGTCTCTGATATATTCAATTATGGAATTGTGATTGGACGGAGACATTATTGCCGAGATGCATGATCTACTGTCTGTACATATAAGGAACTTTCCTCTAGACAGAACGTATTGAAGGGAGAAGCCAGTTGCAAATTATTTCTCCTGTGCCAGTGACAACCGCGAATGAGGTGGAATCGATGGATTTGGAGCCGTCCGCAAACAATAACTTCCAACCGCTGTTTATATAGTTAGATTCCAGCTCAGCATATGTTTGTTGAAAAACTTCGTTTGATGTGTGGGAACTAAAGTCTCAGGAACTTTCTGACAGAGAACGAAACGGGAACAAATCCTCTCTGAACTACTCGCGAAGAATGAAAGCCAGAACAACATTTTTCACATAGCATTCGTTAGTTTGAAATATTAAAATTCGTTAGATTGGAATAATAAAATTTATCAAAAAAGAACTGAAAGATAATTAAGTGGTAATAAGCAATAACCACCTAAGTCGATGTGTATGTGAAATCCCCATTTCGCCAGCTAGGCTATTTAAAAATTTATAGACGAACATATTTTGCTTTCCCCATAAGGCTGACATTACAATCCAAATATTTAAAACGTTTTTTCACGAAATAAGGTTCTTCGACTTAGACGGTTATTGCTTATGACCACAGAATTATACAAATTAACTCAACGAAAGACTTAAGACACGAACTTTTCTTGAATAGAATATTGTTCCATAAATGGACAGTTCACCCTAATGATAAGAGATCTCGTTCCCGAAAGTTTCGTTCTCATTCTGTTCTTCTTGAGAACGTTGTCAAGAGCTTGATTCGCATTTTGTTCTTACGGAAACGTTCCCGTACCTTTTGTTCTCACTTGGTTTTCGATCTTACAGCCCTCTGTTCCCGGAATTAAACCAAAACTGGAACGCGTTATCGGTTATTGATATTCCGCACACTACAAAAGAATTGCTTCCCATAGGCGCACTGGAATCCTTTTCCAGTGTTGATTATAAAAGCATTTGCAACCTTGCCATTGCTCTCTCTTTTTCATCGCCACCTGAACAGAAGACAGCAGGGATCGTAACACCTGCAACTAAAAAAAAGTCCTCTACAACACCGTTGGAGGTCGACATCTACTTACCTGGATTCATCTCATATTATCGACGCGGGAGTTGAACAACATCGCGGAGTTTCACCTGCACTTCAGCAAACTAAGTATCAACCATCTATACATATATTAATATTATCCACCCATTTCAACTTTACCATTCCCGTTGCGCGAGTTCCCTCCGAACTCCGCAACCCAAATCAATTGCTCAATTCACATTATATTTGCTAATCAACCTGTCATAAATCTCATCATACAGTCCATTCAAAAAAATCGTTGTTAAAATATTAATTAGTTCTAAGTACATTTTGTAAATGAATTACAAGTTGGATTAAACATTACTTTGCAAATTTTAAATCGCAATCTCGTAATTTCTTAGGATGGTCCTTGCGAGCCAAATTTGAAACAGTGGAAAAGCAACTATTCCGACATTAGAAATTACGCTGCTCAACACTGAACGGCAGCTGTCATTTCCAATATTTCTATTTTCTCGCTCATTCCCTTCGTTATCTTCAGGCGCACCAAATCGGCAACGGCAGCAGACACCGCGATAAAATTAAAAAAATTTGAAGTTTCCACAGCGAGTGACAAGCCGTTTTTCCCAATCCGTATAATCGCTGCACCAAGCGATTTGTGGTTTAAAAATCAAAAAGTTAATAAAACAAAAACAAAAAAGTGTTGTGCTAAGTGCTAAGCATAGGCAGATTATCTGCCAAAAGCATATAAAGGCCTAATTCCTTTGCACCCAAAAGTTCTAAGCTTCTCAGTGAAGCAATTTTACGTGTGTGAAAAGTGCTTGCGGCACCTAACCAAACGCACTTTGGTAACTTGCGCCCAACGTGGGATCCATTTGATTACAGCCAAGGAGTACAGCCGACCATTGTTGGACCACAGGGCAACCACAAGCATCCACCGCGGGATTTTATTTAGTCACCAGAGGCCACCGAGGGAGTAATACCCGAAAATGAGAGGTACCCATCCTACGCATGTCAAATATATTCATGTACATATGTATATACATAAAAACACCACACAATTTCCTTAAAAATTTTGCATATATCTACCAACTGTACAATTCGGTAAAATATTCACCGTTACCCGAAAAACGGTTTCATGAAATATATACGCGGTTATATATGTATGTACATATTTACACAGTTTCACTCGCTACTTTTCATCAAATTTGCACTCGTTGTTTTCGCTAACTTCCATCCGTATGTACATACGCATATTTGTATAAGCGTATGTATGCATTGTTTCGCGTGTCACATTCCCGATATCCCTATTAAAACCAACAAATATTTTTCTGCTGCCTGCGTCGGCGCCTGCAGTAATCACAGTTTATTATACCTCCTTCGTTTTGATGTACATATGTATGTAGTTGCGCTACATACATACATACATACGTGCATATAAATTTATTGCAAACGAACACAGCGCCGTTGGCACCGGCGTTTAGCCAAATTATTCGTTGATCCAGTTTCATTTTCTTGTAAGAATTTCTATGCACATGTACATATGTATGAAATTGCAATTAATACAAGAAGTGTGTCAACCCAGTAGGAAATCCTACAAGCACTTGCGACTTGTGGAAGTCTGAGTACATTCGACTTGTACCCAACATCTAAATATAAAATCATTTTAGTAACAATCCCCATCTTTATTAATCACTCAAATTATACTACGTATATAATACTGCGAGAAAATATAGAAAAAAATTTTCATTACTTCAGACGTGTGTATGTCTGGATTTGCATTGGTACACACATATAACCAAATTAATTTCCCATTAAAATTATAATTTTTTATTTACATTCCAAAATAAAAAGTGGTGTTCCAGTGTACTTAATTCGCATTGCTTAGCGTATAAAACAAAAGGCAGTGTATATTCTCCATATTTCCAAAATATTAAGGCCGATAAGAACGTTGTAAAGTGATTGACTTTTGGAAATACTAGAGGCATACAAAATCCCTTGCGAATAGGCTCATCTTGTGAGAGTAGTGCCTTGAATTTACAATCAGTTTCTCGAATATTGGTGACTTTCTCCAGTTTACACTTCCAAAAGTAACTTCTCGATTCTAATAGCCCTCATTAATATCCAGTATGTCGGTAGCTTCCGCATTAATGTCGAAGTTTATCTTCGATTCTAACAATGTGGTGAATTTCTGCACCAACTTCGAAAAAGAAGATCCGGAAGATCATACCGATTCTTTACTCGATGTAAAGTTGCAAGACCTTAATTCCCGTTGCGACATGAAAAAGTCTGCCTTGCCGAAGAGATTTCAATTTCTGCCGATTTTAAGGAGGAGGCCCATGCTAAATTTCAACTGTGCACCGATAGTTTTTATATTTGCAAATCCCATATCCTAGATCAACTCAAGCTTTTACAGGGCAGCCCAACCGACAAAAATTCCACTTCCCGCCAGTCGATGGCTTTCATCGATAATTCGATACCATGTATGAAAGTACCTCCGTGTGATACCCAAACGTTCTACGGTAGCTATGAGGATTGGCCATCTTTCCGTGATATGTTCACGGCCGTATATCTTAACCACCCCAAGTTAACACCCGCTCAGAAACTTTACCATTTGCGAAACAAAACTAAGGGAAAAGCTGGCGCCATAGTTAAACATTATACCTTGTGCGATGAAAACTTTTCTCTAGCATGGGAAGCTTTAAGAGCCCGTTTCGAAAATAAAAGGATTTTAATAGACAAACAGTTGAAGACTCTTTTTTACATTTCTCCCGTGTCATCTGAAAACAGCAAAGGCATTCAGAAAATCCAAAGCACCATTAATGATTGCCTTTCGTGCCTGAAAGCGCAAGGTGTTTCCTTTCCGACTGGGACCCTATTCTTATCTATCTTTGCTCCACCAAACTTCCAGAGGAAACCCTCTCCCTCTGGGAGCAAT